AAGATTGTTATCTTAAAAATAGGAATTATAGTTAATTGAACGTACATTTAAGATTACAAAAAATCTTATTAATCATTCAAATTCATAAGCTGAATACTTTTTTTCACCAAAAAAACTTCAATCTTTCACAGCAAACCAATTTTGTTACTTTTTTTTGCATATCTAATGAGTGAGTTCTGATGATTCAGAGCTAATTTGCTATCTAAAAAAAATCAAAACAGCTCAAAATCTCATTCCACTAATGTTATATCCATTTTCCAGTAGTTTATACTCGGCATACTTAACACACTTTTCTATATTTTATGTAACATATTGTACAAAATAAACTTATGCATTCAATATTACATAATTAAATCTGTAATGAATAAAAAATATATTCTAAATCAACTGAGGTATTATCATTTTCAATTTTTACATTATACATGCTAAAGATTTCTTTTCCTCACTTTTTAACTTATCATTAATTGTATTCTATTTGAACGAATCTTTTTTTTATCGAGACATTAAAAAGTGATCTAAAGCAGTATTCTTTACTGAATTCACTAAAGTTGCCTTTTTTGACTACAATTTACCAGACTTTTTCCTTCATTAAGTTCAGCACCATCAATTTAGTAGCAAAACACAAATGCCACTTATGCGAAACACAATCACCTCGTGATTTAAATTATTAGCCGTAACTACAATGTACGATTATTTAACACTTTTGTCATCAAAAAATAAAAAATAAAAACGTGATGACGTCAGCGAACTAAAAAAGATTAAAAAATTTAAGCAATTAATTTTTTTTGGGCAAAAGTTGTTCACATTCTAAATTTTTTGAAATATTTCCAACATTCGCGTTTGAAACAAATCAATTCATTTATTAATGATATAAAAGGCAAGTTAGACTAAAAATTAAGTTGAAAAACTAAATTAGCAAAATTTTTTACAATGAATAGTATAATTAAATTTATACACACACATTACACTCATTCATGAGCATAATTTAATTGAAATTCAGGAAAGCTTTTGCAGTGATTTGCATCTTTTAATGCGCAAAAATGAATAGTTCATTAACAAATTTAGGACAGCACCTAAATGTCTACTACGTGATTCTATTCCTTATACAACAAATATGAAGGTTTTTTTTTTGCCATTTTAATTTATAGTAAAACTACCATTGAACTTATAAAAATTCAAAAAAATCTGAAAAGAGCCATCCTTTAGAAGATAAAAAGTATGCCATTTTTGATTGCATTCATTTTTGACTGCAACATTCTAAAAATTTAAACATTACCGCAATTTGACATTTTACTAATGACTTTTCAAAACATCCAAAATTAGTTAGTTGATTGTTAAGAAATGACAATTTTCGCTAAATTTCTTCGAAAACTGACAGAAAATAAACAAAAAATTTTCTTCATATTTCGAACATTGCAAGAAATAAATTTTAATAAAATTAGTTCTCTAATCGCTTTCACTTTGTTTTACATTCTGAAATAATAATAATCAACAAAACTTTCATTCAGCTTTAACTATCTATCTATACTTTTGTATACTTTTTATTCATACTAACTACATTTCAGTAATACTACAAATGTATACTAATTCTAATTTATTAATGCAATTCATTTAAAATTATAGCAAATTTGTCAAATTTATACAAAATTTGAACAAATTTACAAAATTCATACCAATTCAAGCGTTTCTTTTTTACAAAATTTAGTTATTAGATAGATACAAAATTAATGAATAAAACAAATTAATGAAAGAAGGATAGATGATAGAAAAGAGGTGCATGAAAAATAAACAAAAAAAAACTTTTATCAAAAAAATAGCATTTTAAGATGAATTAAAAATTTTTTAATAATTTATTATTTACTAATATTAGAAATGAAGCTCTATGTTTCGTTTTGCAGTAATTTATGAATGCGACTGAACAAGTGTTAAAAATTAATCTTCATTTTTTTCATTTTATACATTTTTTAAAACTTTTTAGACATTCTAAAGATATTAATAATTGAGCGCACTTGATGAACATTTTCCCTCTTAACTTTCAAAAATATTTCAATAAAATTATGCATTAATTCACAAATAAATAATAAACTTGCAATACTATGACAAGCAATTGCGAATTGCGAATGAATTTCAAATTCTTAGCTTTTAGCTCAATTTATAACTTAAAACTATGAGCAGCTCTTTTTTATCCCCAGTGGTATTTTGTGCTTCCAACCAAAAATAACGGAATTGAAAACATTAACTTTTTAGAAAAACTTCGACAAAATTTCATGGTCAATTTTTTATACATAAAATTCACTCTACGGTATGGTGTCTAGTTTAGTGAATAAAAAAATTACTGGTCATTATTTACGGAAATATGAAAAACTTTAGGAAAAATGCATCATAAACCGAAAATTACATGAAAACGCCGAGCAGAATTTTTTTCTGTCTTGAAAATAATTATAAGTCAGTGAATATCGTGCTAAAATTCTGAAGTTAACACAGGTGAGCATATGATAGGCAGTCATGCAATTAATTTGATAATATGATCGATCACCCATAATTTTGATTATCATTTTGATTTTTGATTATTTCGATTTTTAAAAAATGTTAATACAAAACAGCAGAAAAAAAATAAGGTGGTAGGTTTTTGGCAGGTTTTGGGTTTTCACATCTTGATGATCGTAGGTCAAAGATAATGAAATAATAACTATAATTAATAATAATAATAATAATAATAATAATAATAAGGAGAACAAGTAGGTCCATTCTATTATTATCAGTAATTATCATCAATTATAGACACTCTGTCAACTAATGGTAGCACAAAGGCTGTAAAAGTAGCATTTGTTTTGAAAATAATGTAATTGTAATGACAGAACTGATAATAACATCAGCGCCACACTGACTAAAATTCATCGGTAAGAGAAAATAATGGAAAATCCATTTTGTCATTGTTAATAAACTATTATTTATTAATAAGATATACAATAGCCGAATGAAAAAAAATTACGAACAGAAGAGCAATATAATTTATTTGATGTAGTCATAGACTGAAAAGTAACGAATATAAGTTTGTACCTTAATTGTTAACATGAGTTAAAGATAAAAATGCATGATAAAATGTTTGCTGACACAAACAGTAACATTTAAGAGTGTTACCAAGGCTATAGTTGTCATTTCAAGTAATGGATAATTTCCGTGAACACCTGCGCCAGTAAGCGTGTCATTCATTCAATTTTGATAAGATCAATCAGATCAGATGCGGGCAAACAATACACAATCTTTGAGCACATTTAATATCATTCAGTGATTAATTGAAAAGTACCAATTTTAAATCAATTACTGCTATAAGAAATGAATTTTAGGAAACTCTGGAATGTTTGGAATGCATTTCAGCTAATTTAAGCAGAAGTTAAAATCACAAAAACATTAAATGATGAAAATTACTGAGAAAAAAAGTCAAATATATCATTTTGTATTCAATCAAATAATAAAAAAAGAGCAAAAGTTTTGCAGTAAAGTAAGTACTGAAATTAAATCATTTTATGCTTGAAATACACTTACTCACTTACTTCAGTTATAGAGAATCTTTGGTATGCACTGAATACATTTCATCCAAAAAGATCACAAAAAAATGCAACTGCTTTTATATTTTTTATATTTCATTATTTGAAAAAACATTCACTCCTCAAACTTTTTCTTCCTCAACACAAAAATTACAGTTTCCAATAAACAAAAGTTCATGTCTGAATCAATTACGGTTATAACTGTTTATCTGTTCAACTAATTCATAGCTCACGTGCAAAATGATTCATAATTTCGTAGCACACACATAATCAGACTTCCAGTTGAAGTTTACCCATCATAATTGCATGTAATGTAAAAATAATAATTTTTCCGCACATATGAAAATTTCCAACATTACTACTTAATGATTGCCTAAATAAATTAAACATCATTACTTACTATAATTACATTTTATTCTTGCGCAACACAAATATTTGCGGTAAAAAGAAACTACAACTAGGTATTTCTTGGTAGTGCAGTCTTATTTATTCCTGAATAAATATTCTAATCTAATTCTCTTATGTAAATGTTTTATTTTTCTTCTAATCTTCCTTTACCTTTACTTAACAGAAACAAAAAATGTCTAATTTTCATTTATCAAATACAAAAAAAACAAAACAAAACAAATTAAAGCGCATTCTGACTACAGTTCATAATTTCCTCAATTCATTTTTGATCACTTCTTATCATTTTCATGGTTTTTTTCACTTTTTTTCACTATTATGTATGCATGAAATTTTAAAATTTTATAAAATTATCAGAAAAGATCAAAAAAATGAATTGAGGAAGTTTGATAAAATCAGATAAGAAGAGTTAGTTCAACAATGGAATTTCCTCTCATTAAAATGTGGCAATATTGATATTCAAAGAAGTAAACTATCAAATCAGAAGTTCCTCCCACTTTCAACAAAATTTGACTATGAAATGGTTGAAAAGGCAGAAAAATGGGAGTTTTCAAAAATTATGGTATATAAATAGAAGAGCAACTTTGAACATTGCCACTTTTTCTCAGTCATCGAAGACTTTTCTTGGCAATATTTTTTCAAATTTTTTCATCTAAATGAATTCACTTTTTTAATTAATTAAATATTACTCAAAATATTGCTATTTTTTTGATTTAAAATTATTATTTTATTTTTTATTATAAGATTTTATAGCGTTATCAAACTATGCCTTTAATTAAATTCACTATTGGTATGTACCAAAACTGCATTACATTTTGCATAAGCATGAATATTTATTTGTTTTTCATAACACTGAAAAGACTGAAAAAAACAAAAAACAAAAATTAATTATTTTTCCAGTACAAATAATCTCAATGCAGCATGTGGTATAAAAAATAATAATATTGCTTCTGAATTTCAATTACAACTAAGTAAATTTATTTTTGTTACACAATATCTCCATTAATCTTTTTACAGAAGTCCTTTGGAAGCTGAAATAACGGAAAAATGCTATTCAAACTATTTCTGCGAATTTTCGCAACCATTGCGACATTTTCCGTAAAACCTGTTGTCATCGCTTCGCCTTCACTTATTTCAAGCAGTAATCATTATCGATATTTCCCACCCGCAGGTAAGCAAATCAGCTTATATTTTATTTGCAATTTTTTGTGTTCTTCATTACGCTATTTTTCAAATATGAAGTAATATTTAAAAGATTCAGCATCAGAAACTTACAAGATTCTAAGACTGAAATTATGGACTGAAGAAATTTTCTAAAATCACACAATTCCAACAAAATGGAATTACTAAGACTTTATCGAAATAATTAATTAAAATCTATAAAATTATGCTTTATTTTCCCCAAACTTTTCACTATTCAATAACTGAACTATCAATCTTATCGTAAACTATCAATCTATGATACTTAAAATGTAGCACTTTGATAATTTGATCAAAAGTTTTTTTTTGAAATTTAGTTTAAAACACTAATTATAAGTAAACAAAATTTAAATAAATGATTCATCAGTAATTTTTATTTTTCAACATCCGCTACCTAATTAATTATAGTCATTTACAAGAAGTATTTGGATCTTCACTAGATTGGTTCACAAATTATAAGATGAATATAAATTTTAAAAACAATTAATATCAAAGTTTTATTAGCTAATTTATTTTAGAACCAGACTACCCACCGATAACTCCTTTTGCACCATCCATAAAATTACCAGCAAGTAGCCGGCTTAATTTTCAAGAAGATAGCACTCAACTTTTTGCTTCTAAACCTACTTATGACAAAATTTACGGCGACAAACTACTAGTACGAGTTAGTTCCATAAGACATCCTGATAACTTCAATCAATACAGCTCTACTAACGAAAGTGAACAGGTACCGGATAAAACAGCAGCTGTCAGTAACCCTGCTAGCTACTATTTATTTGGATCAAACTTTGATCAGGTACTTACGATAGTCTTTTAATATACTGAACACCGCCAAAATTTTTAAATTTCCATAATTTTGAAATATCCTAGATTGTACATGGAACCAATGCTCATTCATGAAACAAAAAATTTAATATGTCATCACAATTCTTCACAACTACAGCTGAAATTAAACTATGCTTTTACGCTTTTCCAGTAATTGCAACTTCTATTTCATCAGAGCACAAAAATCATGAAAAATCAAGCCACCAGATTCTATTTAATTCAATCCTTATAGATGTACTGATGCAAAGCATCCCAAACAATGCATATCAGTCTTGATGTATTTATTTAAATTATTATCAGCATTGCTATCATTATCAACTTTTACTATTTTCATCATTCTTCATATTTTAGTATCACAATCGCAACTTGAACATAGCTAGCTATATCCACAAATCATTGGCTATCTTCACAAAGCAAACTGTCTTCTCATTATTTTCCCAAAACTTCATTATACAAAAAAACAACTTACTTTATTATAAAACAATACATTTTCCATAATAATTGTGTTACTTAATTGCAAGATGAGGCATGTTTCTTGAAAACTTTTTGCTGGATTTTTGAAAACTGTTTCGCTTCATGTTATCTAGCACTATCACTTGTACTGTTATTATCTTCCTCCTTGTCATTATGCATTTTTTATTTCTACTTCACTTCAACTTTATTCCCTAGAAAATGACATAACCAGACTTAATTTTTGTTATCAGAAATCATTTTCCTCAACTACAAGTTAAAAAAAAAAACGAAAGAAAGACGAGGACAAATTAAAATAACATTCATCTGTCTTAAAATATGTAAAATTCGAAAATCCTCTCACCAGATAAAAAATACAGCTCTTCAATCTCAATTTTTTATAAACTGGTATTGAAATTTGAAAAAAAAGATAATAAATAAGCTAATTGTAATGAATACTTCAGATCAAGACTCCATCATGTCACTTAAACTCATGTCATGGACCATATGCAAATGATGGCAGCTTAATAATTAGCAAAGCAAAACAGAGCTCAGATGAACAATGTGAGCAAATTTTCGTTACTATGAACGGTTGTACAAGTAATAAAGGCTATCCGGTCGGTATGGTATGTAGTGTTTGCTGTCAATGTACCAAACAATTCATAATGGAAATGAGCCAGTCACGAGGTTTCCTACAAGGAGTCAACTGAACCATTACACACCAAGGATTTCTTTGCATGTCAAAATACCAGTATTTACATTTTTACTGCTAAAACTCATTTGCTCTCACATCCTTAGTATTTATTCATGTTCAATTTCGGTTAGCAACAGAAATATTAGATATAAGAAAAAATGTAATCTTAACTGTGAATACATTTGTATTAGTATCAGATGTATTCTTCACAATTTTACTGGTAGCAATTATAGTTTTTATATTTATTTAAATTATTACAATTTGCATACAATGAATAATCTCTTGAACCTTTTAAATTTTTACTGAAATAATTGTATCAAAATGTTTAACAAGCATTTTTGCACGAAGAAATTAGCTAAGCAATACAAAAGTTTCGTTAAGTTATACAATTTTTGATATGACATGCGTGCTTACAACGTTTAGTCATCTTACTAGAAAAATTTTTAATATTTTCAATTCTCAGTGTCAGTAATCAGAATATAATTACGACAAAACAAAGCGTCTCATTAACATTTGGAAAGTTAGTAATTCACAGATATATCATTTTGCGCGATCTTCCTTTAATTTTTAATTTGTACAAAAATCATTTGCATTTAATTTATTTTGTTTTGTACAAAAGTTGCTTACATTTAATTTGTGGCCTATACTTAAAGCGTTTTGTTATGCTAAAATAAATGATTCTATTATTTATTTTTAACAAAGTAAAAATTTTTTAATGAATAAATGAATTCCAAAATGCGTTCAAACTTATAAATTATTCAGTACCAAAGAATTTTAACGCTTTGCAGTAACAAAACTCAATCACTCACTATCTGTTTTTTATTTCAATTTCGACTCCTTTAATTACATTAGTTAATTACTACATTAACTCCGAAACTGTAATGACTAACCATCAAGAATTCTACAAAAACATTCATACAGTGCTTCTTAAAAATCGTTCACCTTACTGAATTTACCACGCAAGTACAATTATGCCTATAGCACAAGTAAATCTACGAGCACGTTCATAATGCAAGTCCAGTCGATATGATAACAAGAATGATAATTGCATCCTCATTAAAAGCTTCAGTTCTTTGTTAATTTAATAAATGGTGAGCACAAAAACTAAGAAATATGAAATTGAAGTATATAAATATAATATTAATATATTGCTTGATAAATAAAAAACATTGAGCAAAACTGATTTCTTTTTTGACCTAATTTATTCATAAATAATGATTACAATCTTCGATTTTTTTGTGAACAAAAACACTAAGAGAGGATTTATCATGAAGATATAATCAATGACAAAAGAGTAAGAGACATTCTTTTGTTTTCACTACAAGTTTATATTTTCCGCCTTTTATATTTTTAAATATTTTTTGTAAATTTAAGATGAAAGTAGAGCAGTACTTTTTGAATTTATATGAAAATAGCTTTCAACTTTGAACTTTCAACATCAAAAGGTTCAATCTACAAGACGAAGATCCTTTTAAATCCAAATTAATATATTATTATTATTATTATTAAGAAATTTTCTTACTTTTGAGTCGATGATACCAAATGCATACAAATCGGTATATTTAAATACATAATCGAATACCAGTTGAAATAAAAGCCTTAAACGAATTTCTTGACTTCTTGCTTCCACATCAAATTGAATACACAACTTGTTCACTTCTTCTTTCAAATAGTCACTGAAACAGTCATAAAAGTCAGTACATTTTAATACTTTTCTTTTATGGATAAAAAGTTCTACAAACACTCACACACACACACACACACACACACACACACACACACACACACGGTATCTTAAAAACTTATGCTGACGAAAATGACTTTCAATCACAATGAAATACAAAAAAAAAAGTTGTACAGAAAAGAAGGCTTTGAATAATCATGCATTCAAATGAGCAGATAATCAACAAGTAAAAAACAAGAAAAATTCCAAATTTAAAAAATTGATTTTCAAGAAATTTAAAAAAGCCAACAACTGAAAAAAGTAAAACTAAACCAATACAACTCATACTTATATGCTAGTACCAAAAATAGAACAAAAAGAATTTTTCACGACAAATTCAGCTGATTATAGAACAAAAAGTATTTGCAATAGCCCTTTAGAGTGATAGTGAAATTTCACTAAATACACTCCTCACATGCCTTATCTAATATTTCATTCTGGTAATACTTGCTGCACTTATTTCAATGCAATCATTTATTTAAAAAATAATTTTTTTAAGCTTAAATAAGATTGCCATAGTTTCGTACTTTCAAGGATCACAGCAGAAGCAACATAATTTTCTTTCTATAATATAATAGAATTCATTAAATTCCTTAGCTAAGACTAAAGATTTTAAAATTTGTATAAGAAGAATTCAAGAATTCGCTCTTAAAAATCGAAAGAAAAAATGGTTGCGCAGGGATGTGAATTTCTAATGTGAACGCTAGTAATTATTTGATCCAATTATACATTTTGTAAATTTTCTTTGCTTTCAAAAAAAATTAACAGTTACTCAATACTGTTTAGCTTCAAATAAAGCAATCAGCAACCAAGAAATCTACAATACTACCATTACAAAGCAAGCTTACAATCAAGACAATTGTTTTTTGCCAAATTCTTTAAAACCTTCTCAAAATCATCTTTTCTGCTTAGTTTTTATTCAGTAATAATTTATGAGAGATGAACTAAATATAGATCACAAAGTTAATCAATGAATTGCAGATAATCGCAGGAATGGATAAACATAACTAGATATAATTTAATATTCACTAAGACTATAAAAAGCACCACCCACTTATTAGTGATACGTTCAATAACTGCTAAATTATTGTAGATAGTTTTTAGTGAAATTATCTAATTATCGTGAAAGGAAATCAAACTAAATATATTGTTAATTATAACCAAATATCAAGTTCAGCGAAACATCCATAAGCAATACAATCCACGAAATCAGCGTGGAATTGAAATAAGGTTTGGAAAAAGCGTTTTGATTCGAAAAATTTCAATGTCGTTTCAATCTGAGAGATATCCGCTCTCCAAACAATGTCACGCAATATTTTCGTTCTCCTAAACAATATGAGTATAAAATTTCCAAGGTACAATCGCTCATAGAAAATTTAGATGAACCACCATTTGATTATGATTTGAAAAAAAAATATTCTGATTTTAATACTATTTTGCCAACAGACCAAGAATTTCAAACGAATTGTTTCGCTCATTCATTGAAAAGTGAATTGCAGAAAGTTTGAAAAAACCAAAAATGAATTTGTCTTTAGTGCATAAAATGGTATCATTTTCTATGATAATACGATTTTTATGGACAAGTATGCATTTGATTCATGAAATAAAAACTTGCTTCAACATTTGGATCGCATATTTTGCAAATGAAGAAGCCAATTTGTTAAAAATTTCATTCAGAGAGCTATTTGCACTAAGACCTGTAATACTCATGATTGTCAGATAAGTTTCTGTAGAAGCTGTGAAAATTAATTCTAATTCAACTGAAAAGATTATTTGAAAATAACAAGAGAATTACTCATTTCAAGCATTTTTTGACAAAACTGAAAAAGATGATGCACAAATTTCGCCTGCTGGAAAAAAGTGAAAATTTGTATCATATATTTTTCCGTCTCTAAATTATTTTGCTGAACTCCAAGGACTGCAGTTTCATTTTCTAAACAAGCCCAAACAGGATAGCCAACCTGCAAAGATTTTGCTAATAAAAAGAATATCTGCAAATTACTAAAAAGTTAAAAAAACATTAAATTCTATACAGCCTGAGTTTTAACAAACAAAAAAAAGAGTATTAGCAAGAATAGAATAAATATATGTGCTACGGAATAAAATTAAAAAACATAGAAGAATAGAAACCTCTTTTAAAAGTGGTATTATTTTTGGTGAATCTAATTTTTTACTCCCACAAAGATAAAAAGCAGCAGAATCCGCTATACCGCCAACGATTACACCTGTATAATAACCTCTTGCAAAAGCATCCAAAACAAAAGAGTGACTTCCAACCTCAAAAAATTAGATTAAAAAAAAAGCAAAAAAGAGAGTATTAGAATTTATAAACTTGGTTTAAATAAATGTAAATTGAAACGACTAGAAATAAGAAAATTAAATTTTAATAAGAAACTGAATGTCAAAACGACTAACCTTGAAAAACGTTGGCTTCGCTACATGAGGTAGATTGAGTTGCTTTAGCTGCCCAGCACTATTTGATCCCCAAACATATAGCTACAAAATTTGATAAATTATTTCCAATTACAAAACAATAAATTCCAAAATAATGAAAATCTCCATGAGCATCTTCGATTGAAGTAAAATTAACATAATTTCCATAAGAAATACTACAAAAATTACTTCTCCAGATCCAATTAGGACTATGGTATGTTCATCACCTGCTGATATCTTGATACAATATTTATTTGATAGATCAGTGACTTTGGATGGTTCTCTTCTAGAACAAAATTTTAGACAGTAACCAATTTCCGAAATTTTTAAAATCGTTTCAATAAAAGTGAAAAACTTATATTCTGTAGAGCATGCCTGAAAAGAAGCAGTGATACCTCATAACGAAATCACCATGTCCTAATTGACCATGTTCATTAGCTCCCCACGTCCAAACTTCTGGTAATAAATCGGAATAATTCTCAGAATACAATCTAGTTTCTTCCTCATTTGAAACAGAAGAGCTATAACTTCGTACTGTGCAAGGTAGTGATGAGTAATCTGTACCTAAATAAAATTTTTGTGATAAATAGCTAAGTCAAATGAAAAGCAATTTCTATATTCAAATCTGACGATAATTTTTTAAATTTCTAATCATTAAAAAATGTCTCATATCTATCAACTCAAATTCATTGAAAAAGTATACTCCATGAAGATAAAAGAATATTTGCCATAATAAATATCATAATGCTGTGATAAATATTGCATACAATTGTAACAAATACCATGTATATTTTGTAATGATACCAATGTTGAATTTGGCCTTAAATTTTTTAGTTCTGTCATTTCCGTTTCCTCGAACAACATTTCTTTTCGTACATCTGTTACATCATACTTAATTCCACTCGAAAAACTAAATACTTGAAAATTTTAATACCTTTAAACTATTAATTTCAAGCTTAAAAGTAATTTGACGAAAAATAACTGCAGATAGATTCAAAGTGTATCAATTTTCAAAAACACAATTTAAAAGATTTTATAAAATTTGAATGAGGAATTTTTAATAAATTATTACTTGTAATCTGTTCCTAAACTTCTACAAGCATCAGTGTTAACACATGTACTAACATCAACGACTTCATGACTCTTCATTGATGACATTTGTGATTCATTTTCCTTAAATAAGACAGTTTAGGTTTCATTAAGAATTCAATACGACATTATTTGATAAAATGATATAATTAAGTCACTGTTTTACTACTAACTTCAAAGGTATGCTTAGAAGAAAGTTTCGTGCTTTATTAAATTTATTTGAAAGTGAAAAAACATTTTATGCAAATTAAGTCGAAAAATTGAAAATTTAATTTACAAAGATAATTTGAACTCAATTAAAAGAAAGTAAAATACCTCATCTGCTTTATTCATTAATGTGCTCAACCGTAATTCGTATTCTTCCAGACATTTTTTACAATTAGTTGATGGTTTGAGTTCAAGAGTTGATGATTTCTCATTATTAGTATCGTCTTTTAAGTCAAGCGCGGGAATTGCCAAACAAACAAAATGCTCCCTAAAAATCGTTTTATAATGATGACTATAACACATATATAGCTTCTAAATTACACGATACCTTTAAAAAAAATATTTCATGACCTTCCAGCTGATAGTTGCAGAATTTTACGTTTGAAAGCAAGTTGTACAGGTCGAACATGAATACGTCCAAGTGAATCATAATCAAGCTTTCCATTACCATATCTCCATAATCTACCATCGAAATCAACTAAACAAACTTCTGATGCTGAAGTTTGAACAAACTTAACTTTTAGTGACCTAAAAAAACAAAATGATACAAGCTACAAAAAAATTTTATATCAAATTATTTTTCTTTTACGCTACATAAAAGAACGATATACATGTCACATGTGATTTTGTAAGTAATTTTTACCCTTTTTTTGTAATCTATATGACTCTTAGAAAAGAGGCAATACTTTTGATACCAATTCAAAGTAATAACGAAAATTTTTTTGACTTAACACACATTCAATAAACTGAAATATTAACTCTGTATTGGCAATGAAACATCCATGAGGACAAGTAGATAAAGCAGTAAAGAATTTGATTTCCTGCAAAGATTCAATAGAATGAGCTGAAATAACACCACATTCACCATGTTTGGTAGATCCACAACCATATAATCGACCGTCTTCAGTAACCAAGAATAACTTATCATAAGCAGCGCACAATGAAATAAAACGAAGAGAAGATTCTATTAAGAGCGGTTTCTTCTCGCCAGACAATGTGTGAGTGTACTGAAACAAACGAATGCATCACAGCAAAAGAGTTTTATTTTATTAAATACATGCAAATACATGTCGCGACTCTGAATTTAATGTACAAAATAGATTTACACACAACTTCGGTAGATATTATACTTAAATGTTTGCACTCTTTCCGTCTTTAAACCCATGTAAAAATTAAAATAATTTATATTTTTCAAATCTGCATGCACTTAAGTTTATAAAACATATCAAAGATCCATAAATTTTTCCCACGCCATGTTTAAACACCGAATTTTTCGATGCTTCTTAAAGAAGAGCAATTAATCCAGAATCATAAATATTTTAAGAGTAAGACATACCACGATACCACCCTGAAGAAACAGGATGTTTCCTTGATAAATTACAAGATCATCTGAAGTTGTGGCTACTAAATCTTTGAGTACTTTCCATTTTACGATTACAGTTTCATCTGAATACCACTCCTTTAAATTTGAGTATAATAATCTCATATAGCAAACCAAGCTTAAAATATAGATCTGAAACAAATTTTTATCCAGTTTCTACAAGAACGTTTTCAATAAACAACAGCATTAAAAAAAATTATCAACCAGCACATAATAATATCAAAGAAATTGAAAAACTAATTTCAAAACAACTTGACAAAACATAAAATGTGAGAAAATATTCAAATATTTAAAAGTTTAATAAACACATAAGCAAACGTAGTCTGAGCTATCCATAATTTAATAATTTCTCTAATGGACGTAAAAAAAGTTGATAAAGTGAATTAGTGAAAAAGCTTCCGTACTTCATTTGGTACAAAAATGAGGTTGAAAATTAATATTTTAAATCGCCTTGAACTTAGCAATTATCTAAATAAATATGAGCCACAATCAAAATTAAACAAAAACAAATGAGAACAATGTAATAAAATATTTGACAAACAAAAATATTGTTAATCTGATAATTCACTAGACTTTAAATATAAGGAACAATATAATACTACAAAGTTTTGAATTCTTATGTTATAAAACATGCCTAAAATAGTTTTTCAACTTTTTTATAAATACAAATCAATAAAACAATGATAATATTCAACCTGATACAAGTTTAAGGGACAATGTCATGAAAAATTTTTCATTGCACATCAAATCGAATTAACAGCTCAATTATGCCAAACTTTGAACAGTAAAAATTGCCGAAATTTCAAATCTTTTGGCAGTACTAACACAACTTTTGTCCATTCAAGGTCTTATTAATGATCTGCTCACTATCGAACATATTTTCTGAAAACGAGACACACTTCTTACAACTTGAGCTTATTTTATCACTATTTATACTTTTGTATGATCAGAACACTGATTACTAGCAGTGATTCAAATCAGAACGAACTTCACCATGATGTGCTATGAGATATTAATTCAGTTTTTTAGAGAACTACTCGATGATTTCTAGCGGCTTCAGAAACATCAATACCTAATCAATTATAATTATAATTGAATATGGAACTCATAAATGAAAAGTCGAAATTTTATCGAACCTCAAATAAATTGCAGGATTATATTAGTGCTTTATGAGTTTACAGTATCAGTTAATACAAGCAATACAAAGGTAGCTAAAATCCATAGAAAACTTTTATGTATATGAGAATGAAGTTTTATCACTTTCTTTTATCAAGCATCACATTACTCTTATTTATTCAGTTGGCTTTCAGAAATACTTTCTCATACACTGCACTTACAAACAAACAATTACTAAATAAACAAATAAGTAGAACTGTTCAAGAAACCCAACAATTCAAACATAAAAAAATACACAAATATGTTGAAAAATAATTCGAAAAATAAATAAAAAATAACTGAATAAATACTCAGCAAAATCACTGAACTCACACACCAACTCAAGCAAACGATTCACAGCAATATAACACTCACTCCTTTCCTCACCTTACAAACCAATTCGCATACTAATGCTCAATACACTTTTTGTTATAAAAAGAAATCAACCTCGCTCATTTCTGGAATAAAATGCATAATATGAGTAGAAGAAGAAAATTTTAAAAAAATACTACTTATTTCATCAAAGCTTAACCTGCTTTAAACATTCAAACAAATGTTACGCAAATAATTTAAGCTGAAAAAGTTTTCCCACTTACGTTGACGTCATTTTGCGTGATAGTTCACGTTTAAGCTGCGAGTTCAAATTTGCGCACTACAAATACTTGAACTCCAGTCTATATTTTGGCGAAACTAGAATTTAAAAGAAAGATAACATAAAAATCAAAGTATAATAAGAGACTTAGTGCTCAAAAAAATTATGTACAAAACGCTTAACAAAACTTCTTAATTTTATATCAATTTTTTTGGTTTTTATTGAAGTGTTTCATAAAAATTAAAAAAGTGCTAATGGTCAGTGGTCAGTGGGAATGAAATTTTGAGTGAAAATCATTTTTGAAATTTGTATATAAAAATTATGATTATTCAAATTTCCTTTTTTATGAATAGAATTTTTTGTATATGTTCAGCAGAACTAGTCTATAATAAAATTTAAAAATCTTTCGCAGTTAAACAACAAAAATACAAAACTATCTGTACAGTTTACCTAATTTATTCTTGCAAAATATACATTTCACGAAAACAAATTTATTTCTGGTTTTTATTGATGATTAAAAAAATGAACATTTTTGAGGGTGAGTAAGTCATGTAAAAATATTGTACTACACCAACACCTGCCAAATTATAAATAAAAGATTAGTTTGTTTTTTTTAGAAAACTAATTCTATTTTTGGTAATGAGGAAGAGTAATTTTTATGCCAGCAATCTGCGCAAAAACAATCATTAAAAGAGTATTCAGATGCTATCAAGAAGACAGTGCACAGAATTACTACACGTAAAAAATATAACTATAGATATTCATAACATTGGAAATGAAAATAAACATTTAAAAATGCGATTATTATTTTAATTTTTGGATAGAAAAATTTACAAAACTTAGAAAACTTACACCTAATTGAATGTTGAACTGAAATGAGATTACTATTTAAGACAATAACGAGATCAAAATTGCGAGTAATTCAAATGTTTTTATCTTATTAAAACTTATTTTTGAGATATGCAAAATATAAAGTAATCGAAAGAGATGTATAAACAAATAAGAGAACACACTGTACTACAAAAATTAGTGATAAAAATGAAAGTGATAAAGAAAAGTTAGGAATTAATGACTGATAAGAGAGAAACTTACAGATTTAATAACTATCAACAAAATTTGTAATTAACTATCAAACTATCAAACAAAATTTGTAATTTTATAAAAAACGTAAAAGTAATAGCAATTTCTACATAATGTTTTATTTTGCAAGCAGACCCAACTTACAATGTGTAAATATTAAATGCTAATGAAAGTAAGACAGGTTAAATAAGAAAATAAGCGTCGTTTGACGTAAATCATTACAAGAAGTAACGCTGTTTATGCCTCACATTCTGATGATTCATCTTTTCCTTATCATTCTATTCATAATTAAAGGCGCAAATAAAAGCAAAATACTCAGTATGAAATCGAACTACAATTACCAAAAACTTATACGCTAACAACAAAGCGAATCAAAGAAACCAAACGTAGATCACACGTAAGATCTAAATTTGCTGAAGAAACATTTTTGTTAGTTTTTCTCTACTCTTAAATCCAAATGACGAGACCACAATGCAACTACTTCATCCCAAAGATGAAAATTTTTAACAGGAACTAGTTTTTTCCAAGGGTTCAGGGAATGACATTGAAATCGATGTGTAGCTAATCATAAGATCCATGAAAAGGCAACTGTGATCACTGCTTGTAAAGTATTATATGCATTCAGAAAATACTTTTTCAATTTCACACAAATTCTAAGTCTTACGCTTAATAAGCGTTAAGAAGCTAAATACGACAATACTTCTCCAGTAATAATTTTTTATGTTTTTAAATATTTTTGTTTTGACGTTCTGAATGGAAGTATTCATTAGGTATAGCTTAATTAGGGCAAATAATAACTTCAAATTTGCTCATATCTTATATTTTATCCTTAACTGCTGAGAATAAGCATTACTTTCTGTCAACAAAGTCAAATGACTACGCTTGAGATTAGTCCCAATATGATGACACTTAATGACAAAGACTTAGTGATATTATCATAATACTGAAGTGATTATAATGATTAATGCTAATATTTAATATTAGCAATAATTAATGATAATATCTGGAACTTTTACGATAACTGAAAGTAAATTGCTGAAAGGCTAATGAGAAGAAAAGAAATAATCACACGACGAGAAGATTATTTGAAATAGATGTTGCTTAGATGTGCGCGAGCAGTTGTGTGCCAGTAAAATTGACTGCAAAAACAAATTTGAAAAACAGTTATGAAAATTATTGCCGAAAAATATCGAAAAAAACTTTTTGAATAGCATCGCAACTTCATTTCTTTCTAAAATTTTGACATTAGTTTTCAGTGCTTGCATATTATTGCTATGTTGTTATTAGTAGTAGTAATTCTTATTTAGGCAATTAATAATAATTCCGTAATTAATACGCTCTAATATGACTATTGATTATTGCTTATTACAGTCCATCACTTATCACTGATCATTGTATGTTATTACAGATTCAGGGATTTTGTTATCACAACCGCAAATTACAATCAATTTTTTCAATTTGTCATTAATAATAATTTGTTATCATTCGTAATTATCAATCTGTTATTTTACTACTATTATTATTACAAATTATTATTTCCATTTATTATTATTAATAAATGTATAATTACCGTTATTACTACTCAATTTCTGACATATTTTATGAGAATGATGGAAAGTTCAAAATTAAAAAAAGAGTATAAAGTATTTTCTGTTTTTATCAGTATAGTATAAAGTATGCATGTAAAAATTCTTGATTGTTACACGATCAATCTTAAAATAATTATCCTTCGTGAACCATAACATTTTCAGCATTTCTAGTGCCAGTTTAGACTCGTCCCATAATTCATAATTTTATCACACTGATAAGAAAATATTTTGGAACTGGAATCTACAGATCACAAATAAAATTTAAATCTCAAAAAAATCAGTAATTAAAAAGTTATACTTTTTGTCTCACACTTGAACGTAATTGATGCTAAGAAGACAAATTCTGAAAAAAGTTTGATGCTTGGAATAATATAGATCTGAAGAAATATTGTTTCTAAGCATTTCGGTACATTTTATAAAAGTAAAAATCATTTATTAATTTATTCTCATTACAGTACTAATCATTCACACATAATATGACTTATTTCACGTGTCAGTTCTGAAAGTTTAAACAGATCATTTCAACTTCTCTTCGAATTTCAGCCATTGACCATCGCTCTGATGCATTCGTTATCAGGCAGTTCTGTTGTATCGCTTGTAAACGTTTCGGCATGCTTTCTGGGGAAGGTATTCGGTATCCATTTTTTACCTTAATTTTTTTATCTCCCACAAATTAGCAAAAATCCCTTCATTTAATTTTTAAGAAGAACTGTAAGTCTACAACGTATTTCACGTACATACGAGCAATATTTTGTTTCATCTGAAAACTTCTAAAATATGATTGAAATATTTGAAGAAAAAAAGAAAATTATACACTGTCATTAACTTCTGCAATAGTCATTCCACAATATGGTTGCATGCCATTTGTAAAAATTTCCCAAAGTATTATACCATAACTGAATACGTCGGATTTTTTGGTATAAATAGCCAATTTGAGAGTTTCTGGGGCAGACCACCTTAAAATTATCAACAATTTCAAGAAAATACTTCAGATTCTAAACTGCACAAAGTTTTCTAAAACTATTTTATTAAGTGGAATTATAATAACATCTGTATAAATTAGACAGCCTTTAAATTTGCTAAAATATTTCATTTAATGTTTTTTCAAAGATAAAAAAGAATATAAACCAAATAATGTCACAAATAAATTAATTTCGTCTTACAGTATAAAAGAAAAATCTATTTTACAGGGCTGAATTTAATTAAAATTTATGTCATAATACTTTGAGATTACCAAAAATACTTGAAAAAAAAAAGAGAAAGTACGTGATAAAGAATATTTTCAAAAAGTTTATTAACGTTTTTCCGTGTATTTATGCATTTTGCGATTTTAAATTCAAAAACAGATAATAGCGTCAGTACAAATTTTAAAAGCAAACCTTACTGGCAATTTCTGGTTCAATTGCTTCAAACAATAGATACCTTTTTGGTCTTCTAGCATTCGTGAAAAGTTAAAATCCGTTATTTTGACGCACATATTTTCTACCAAACAATTCCTTTAAATTATTTCCCAAATCATACAATCAAATGTTCGAATAAATAAAAACAAATGCATTGTTTTAAATTTATTAACTTGAAATACAATATGAACAAACCAGTTATAAAATGCATCGCTTGAAAGTCACATTGCTAATTTCTCAAACATTCTATGCAATTTTCTGACTACGTTCAACGTTGGATACAGGACAAAATGTAAAAATCTAAAGTCAAGAAACCTTGCAGAAATGTCTCGATGAATAAAATTATTTTCATGCAAAAATTCTAATCCAGAAGCAATATCCAAACAAAAGTATAACTTTCTACGAATACTCAATGTCATTCCTTTTGTCAACAGAAGCATATCCAAACTGCCATCTTCTAGCAACTCCAACAGCAGCATTATGGGCTCCTAGCAATCTCTCATTTTATTTTATGTATTTTAATTTTATTAATTTGCTCACAAAACTTGTCTTATTTACAATTATTTTAAAATTACTTCTGCTATCGCTGCTATTTGTCTTTAAACAAAGTTATTTGTTAATAATAATATTTTTATTATTATTATTATGTTTTATCAGTTTCTTGAAAAGTAAATTAAAGCAAAATATTGTTTTATCAAATATTATGCAATAATTCTTAGAATTAAATACTTTTTTACAAAAATTATTATATTTGCAACATTTTAAGTAATAAATTATTAGTAACATAATCATCCAAATGATATAATGTTTATAATACTTACAATAATACTATGATATCATTTTAAAATTGTAGTTAAGAAGTTGACCGCACTATTTAATCAAGTATTACATGATTTGATTATCATTTTCCTAGAGTTAGTGCAATAAAGTAATTCTTGACTAATTCAGTTTAATTTTCTGCAGAATGAAACAGAACTGATAATTGTTATTGAGAGATATACATCAGAGTTGTTTTCTTCTAAAATAATTTCAAGTTTATATCAAATCTGTTCAATAATTATTTATCCGATCTATAATGTAATTGTCAAGATTATTTATGCCATTTTGAATGTGACATATTATTCTTAGAATTCTCTGCAAGTATCTATCTACCTTGCTAATAGCAATTCCATATAAGCGAACAATATTTGGATGACAAAGTTTACGCAACACCCGAGCTTCACGGCAAATTTCTTTTATAACTTCACGATTTGATTTTGAAGCTTTACATACTTTCACTGCTACCTGCAAAAATAAATACCCTTTGACCTTAAAAACATTAATAAAAGCTGAACCTCAAATGTATCAGATTATATATTATTGCCCATGTAATATGAATAATTTGAGCATTTACTTTTGCATCACTGTTAGTTCTTGAGAAAAAAGTTTTACAATTGATAGCACAATAAAGCACAAAAAAAATTGTTCTTATAAAATGCTCCAGAAAATTTAGCCTAAATTTAATTTAATTCTCATGTAAGCAATACAATATTAATCTGACTTTTTTAAAAAAATATTTTTAATTTCTTTATCCAAAATTATAATTAATTATTAATTTCCTCTTGTATATCAATTAATGTAATGAGCATTCCTTTCTCTTCACTAAATACAGTTCTCATACTGCTCAGTGATAGAATACAATTTTTTCACCTGTTTTAACTTGTTGTTATCTGCTAATACACCTTTGTAAACTGCACTAATTGCACCTTCTCCTATCAAATCATAAAGTTTGATCTGTAAAGTAACTATCTTTCTGTATCGCTAATGAAAGATAAAGAATTTTTAGCTATTACAACAAATAAAGTTACTGGTCTATTAATAATCTTTTTCAAATATTAGCAAAATTTAGATAAAAAATTTGCATAAAATAAATTTATGCTTACTTGCTCGTGCTGAAATTCCCAGTGTTGTCGAGGAACAGCGTACAGAAGCACAGCGCCACTTTGCTGAGTAATTGGGTTTCCACTAGTTGAATAATATCTGACATTTTTACAATAATAATTCAATTGCAACATCAATTTTAGTTTAAATAATTTAATATAAAAAATTAAAAATAATTTGTTTAATTGTTAAACGAAGATGCTTTTATTTGTTATTTTGCCGAACTTGAATTGTATACAAATTTGATTAAAAAAAGAAATAAATTTAATACTTTTTTAAATTTAACTTTATCTTTATTCAACTGTAAGTACTAATATCTAAAATCAAAAGATTGAAATGATAATTTATTAGTTCATTTTAGACTGGTACTGAATCAAAAGTTACATTAGTATGATAATTAATAATAATTAATACCTAATAAGTTCCTCTACAGAACAAAAATGCCGATTTGTAATGTAAACCTTTCCTGCTTTTTCATTAATAATAAAATGTAATATTTTACCATCACAGCGCACTGATAACACTAATCGAACATGCTGAAATATGCATAAATTATGCAAATTTTTGCACAAATTTAGAATATTAATTTTGCAATTACCTCACAGTTTCTTTTGCATTACTTGTATGACAATTAATTGTGATTAGTATTTGATAGATTCAAAAAGTGATTATCACTTACGTATTTTTTGGATTTGTTCAATCGTAATCTTATAGTAATATTATTTAAGATTTGTTATTATCCTATTCACTTTTGATTACTTTTTATCATCTTTAATTTGTTTGATTATGGACAAAATTTAGGAATAAAGTAATTCTTTTAGTTCGTTAATAATAAATTCAAAAAGTACTTCACAAGTTTTTAATACTGTAGCTGCCAGTTCAATGATTAGAAAAAGAGTATATAATTCATATCAAAAGGTGTAAATCACTTAAGTATTAAGTATTAAATTAATATAATTAATAAATCAACGCTAATGCCAAGAACAACTTGTAATGATTATTTTATTATTATTATCAAATTTTAACAAGAAATAAATGGAATTCACTTTGCCCTTTTCAATCTTCGTTTCACGAACTAAAAAATTTCCGTCTTTTACCAGCAAACTTTCAATATCTTCACGTGGCAATAATCCGTGGTACCACAAAGCTGATTCTAGTTCTGTATTATTATCAGAATTGATTAACTCATTAATTATATGAGCAAAAAATGCTAAATCTTAAAAATTTATTCGTCTTCAAAGTATTAACAAACAAAATAAAATATTTATGTAACTGTTTATTTTAGTTTTAAATTTTAATTTAGCAACCGATAGATATTTTTATTCTTTTGACATATCTATGATAAATAATTGCGCTTTTTTAAAATTACATTACATACATAATTTTGAACCTGAATTATTAATTTTTAAGTACTGAATTATTAATTTTAAGTCACCGAACCTTGTCATCTTTTGCCTTTTTAGCTTTATTATTGTTTACTAATAAATTATCGGTATGAACCCACCAAATTCCATTACTACTTAACCTCTACAGCACTTTTGCTACCGCATCTGATAAGAAGAAAGAACCTGTCTCATTGCTCATCGCTAACAGCCCTTTCGCTCATCACAATCTCAGCTCAACCAAATGTCGAGCAAACATTTACAACCTTTATTAATAACTCAAAGAAATTTGCATTCAAAATTAGGCAGTTCAAAATTTAAATTTCTTATTAATATTCTAATTAAATGTTATTTATTGATTAAAAGCTTGTTGAAACATAATTTAAATGCAAATTCATTAATAAATGGATGCAACTTTCTTTTTAACTGCATAATTTACATACGACTACATGAATTTTCGTACAATTTTTGCTACTAGTCTTTGCTATTTAAAAAAGTAGTACTCTTTAAAAAAATTTAATTAATAATAATAATAATAATAGTAATAATAGTGTATAATGATAGTACAGTGGTGGTAATAATAACAAACAAGTAAATATACACTTAATTAGCAAAAATTATAAAAACTGGAAGTTAGGAGAAATCAAAATGAACTAAAGTGGCAAAGTTGTTTTTTTGCAATTCATGTAATTTAAAAAATGAATCTTTCTGAATTAAAAAACTTTTTATTTGAAAAAATGAGTTCTGCAAGAGTTTCTAGTGTTATTCCATTTAGTTTTTTGCATAAAAGTATTATTAATTTGAAATTTGCTAATATTGCTTACATAGCAACATAATCTTTCAGTACTAAACTTTTACTGGAATGTCACATTTTAAATAAATTCAAATTAAACAACCTCAAAAGATCATGTGTGCTTTTGTTGAACTTCAAATGCATCCTTTACACATATAAGTTTAAATTGTATAATTTTTTTGATTTTCTTATTAAATATAATTATTGACGTTTGTTTTTATGACTTTCTTATGTAAAACACTTTAAATCTTTTCTTTTTTTAAGTTTGATCAGATCAAAATTATATTTGCGCAATTTTTTTGCTTCAAAGATCAGTACGTTTTATTTTTGTAATATTTTTCAGTACTTTAAGAATTTTTGATTTGTTTGAAAACTTACGCTATCAAAATATTTGAAAGTAAAGATTCAAAAAATTTTCGCTTTCTTTGAATAACTCTTAGCAAATTAATCAATGAAATGATTGATTGATTTTGAAGAGGATCAATGAAGAATCATGGATGAATTTTGATAAATTTATCAAAGAATTACTCATGATTTGCAGTAAATATTCAACGATAAGAGGATGGAAGTGTCTATTGAAAGCAAGGAAAAAAGGCAAAAGGGTTGATGATTGGTAATTAAGACAGGTTTCCCCAGTTCGTCTTCATCTCCCCCGCGGTTTCGGTGTCACAAGAAGTACCCTTCAACTATTTGTCAAATTAAAAGAACCAAAACAGTAGATAAATAATAACAATAATAATAATAACTGCTAGAGTATCAGTTGTTCCCTTAGTAGGTAAACTGTGTTCGTTGTTGAGCAATCATTCCTTTGCATAACAATTCTCAAATTTCCTTTTATTATTACTTATCATTTTATTTAGTTACAAAATTTAACAAAATAATATACTGAATTTCGATGACTTTACTTTTTGGTTATTTTACAAATTCAATTTTGCAAGATTTTAGGTATTAATTTAATTTAATAGCTTATTTTTAATATTTTCCTATGTCAATTTGGTATTATTTAAAAATTGAAAAGTTTTATGTTTCATATATAATTAGTAGCAGAATATTGAATTAATACTGAAATTGGCGAGAAATATATCTTGACAAATATTTGTTACAAAAAGATTAATGTATAATTTGATAAATTTTTTTACCTTTTAAAATAAATATTAATATAATGTATAAATAACACATATTAAAGTTAGATTTTGATATACTAGAATGTTAAGTTTTTTGTATTTGAATAAATGTTTTAAAATATAATCCAAAGTACGCTGTTTCGCTATTCTTGCAATTGATATTAAATTATGAACAAAACAAAACCGTTCCATACCATAATGATAAGAATTATAATTTCATTATTTTTGCATACTTTTAAACTTTTACACTTAATTATTAAATTGAACTAAATTATTACATTGAACTAAATTATTACATTGAACTAAATTATTACATTGAAAATCGTGAATTTTACGAAGAAGCTAAAAAAAAACTGCATTATATTACTACTTAAATTCAAGTAATAATTTATTGAGTAACTTAATTCAAATAGACATTTTTTGTGTACTATTGTATATTAACAGTAAATTTTTCTATATTTTTTATTGTTAGATTCCATTTTTAGTAAAATAAAGCATTTTTTTCTAAAATTTTATTCAAGAAGTGACCAGTGTTATCTTAAGGATATTACATTGTATATTTCTATGATATTGATGATAAACAATAATGCTATCAGTGATTACTTTGCTGGTTACCTGTGTATTTGTCACTGCAAGACCGCCAACAGCAGATGAGATTCAACAAGAGGTAGTAATAATCATTACTTTAGAGTGAAAATTTTTAAAAAGTATTTAAAAAATTTAAAAATTTTTTTACAAAATTTACACACTAAGGCTTTTTTTTATTTTTTTACTATTTTTATTTTTTTCTACGATAAAAGGAGTGCAATAGAAGTTAGAAATGATACAGTCTAAAAATTACGATTACTAAATTTTTAAAAATAGAATTGTAGCCAAATATTTTAGCTTTCAATATGTAACTTTTTAATAAAAACATCTGAAAGTTTAGAAAATATTACTAACAGATATATTGTTCAGCTTAGTGAACAACAAATCTACGACACTAAGGACGATTACGATCTTCTGCCAGCTGTGGATAGCATTCCTGAAAGTCTCAAAGAAAGCCTGATAAAACAGAAATCACGATATTTAGATATGCTAAGACAACAAAATTTGTGATATTACTGATTACTTTTACTTTTTTGTAATTAAATGAATAAAAAATATTTGTATCAGTTGATACAAACTAAAATAAAAAACTGCAACTCAAAGACTCAAAAAACTGATTACTGATTTTTAGACAAGAAATTATTGAATGGAATAAATTTAAGAAATATATTAATAAAATAATGTTCAATTTTCTTAAATACATTAAATAATGCGGTGATTTTACACAAACTGTTCTTTTTTGCATGACATAAATGTATGGATTTGAACTACGTTATTAGGCAGGTTAGGCGGGAATGGTATGTACTGCTGAGGTGTTCAAAAAAAGCATCCAAAAATTAAAATTAAAAATTACAAATTGGTATAGCAAAAGTAAGTAGTCATCAAAAATTTGTTTTTTGCTTAACTTTTACTGTTTGAAGTTATCTTTCTGAGAAATATTTATTAAAAAGGTATTTAATTTTTTAAGAAAAAAAATTTTCAGTAAAAAATACATTGTCGCAATAATATTTTTAGATGCTGAAATTAGACAGAAAGATTTAACAATCTGTAAGTTTTGAATAAGAAATGAATAATTTTGTGTGAATGCAAGCAACATACTTTCTAATACTTTTTTAAAACAAATTAATATCTAAAAAAGAATAATATATTTGAAATGAAATAAATCAGATTATATAAATTTAGGAGGGATTTTAATGGGGCAAATTGAGGGCGACTGTATGAACTACACATTCATCTGCAAAATCCTTGCCAATTTGAAGAATAGACTGCTCAGTTTCAGTATTGACCTCTGTGTATTCTTTCAAGAACTCAACCAAAATCAAGAAAAATCCCTGTAAAATCATTCATTTATTCAATTTCAATCAAAAATTTATGTAATTAATTTTGATTTTGAAAAAAACCAAATTTTTGGAAAAAATCAAAAATTCAATTTTTAATAATTGCATTAATTTTGTTGAAAATTACTTTGAATTAGTTCGGACATTATTAATGTACTGAATATTTACATCAATTCTCTTTTAATTATAAAGTTTTAAAAAAAATTTTCAAAATTTTCTTCTATTTATCAAAGCTATAAAGTTTGAAAAACTAGTTTGCAACACAGTTTTAGTTGTTGACAAAATCAGATATGCAAAAAGAGTAAGTAAATAACGAAAGCGCAGCAGATATTTGCATAGGTATTTTGAGATAAAATGTTATTTATGATGATTATACATACTTTTACATACTTTTGATAAGACACAAATTTGAAAAAAAAAACAAAATTCAATGTTAATTAGTTATAAATTTTTTTATAGATAAAATTAACCATCCACAAATTTCGATCCATCTTAAATTTGACGTGGCGATTTACAGTTTCACGAGCGTACGCTAAGAATGTTTCATGATCATTATAAGTATTAACAATAATTCGAATGGCTAATAGAATTCGCTGACCTAAAACATACCAAATTCCAGAAACTAAAAAATTAATTATGCTTGTTAAATACTAAAAAATTTTTGTTTTTTTTTTCCTGAGTTTATCATTTATCTATTTTATCATGCTACTACTGCTCTATCTATTATAATCTACAAAGATTATTTTTAATTTTGAAATTTGACTGTACTTCAAAACGAAATTATTTTTTGTGACTGCAAAATTTAATTACTGTTTTTATATTTTAGTAAACAAACTATCCCTCTAAAAAAATTCTTTTAATTTTCGCAACTATAAATTTTAATTATTAATGAAATACTCTAAATTTTTCTCAGTTATCCAATGCACTTGAATTTCAAAAATTTGCATACATAACAGATGCAAAAAATGCAAGTAATGCAAAAGAAAATTTTATCTTGTTTAACGAATCGTTCACTATTTTGAACATCTTCTGGAGTGTAATGTTCAGCACCTTTGAAATACTTGCGTAAATCAGGATAATTTTTGAACATGCTGTAATAAAGATAATTTTTGAACATACTAAAATGAACAAACAATTTTTATGCAATATTTCAAAGGTACTTAAATACTAATTTGACAAGCTTTACTTCAAAAATTAGTCTTTAATGCAAATTAAATTAATTCAAAAACAAAAAACAATAATTACAAATTATGTTTAATTTTTAGACAGAGAAAAATCGTTCACATCCAAAATACTTAAATACTAATTTACTTTCATACTAAAAAAATTTTTCAGTAAAAAATCAAAAAAAATTATTTTCTAGCAGATTAAACATTCATAAATTTAGTTAGTATTGCAACGTAACGTTTTATATTCAAACTATTCCTTTAGCAAAGTCTGTCATCCAACACTAAAATGATTTTTGAAAACAAAGCTTTAAAAAGGTAACTATTTATAGAAGTTTAATCCGTGCTGTACAGAAGTCTGATCAGTTCCAACGGTCGCTGCTTCGTTCAGAACTTTCATACAATTGTTTTGCACTTCTATACGTGAAAGCATTTTCAATAAATTGACGTTTTGCACCTAAAATTTTTATTTGTAAGCGTAATTTCGTATTAATAATTTAATACTTTGACTTAATTTTATTAAATTATTTTTGTCTTTAGAATTATTTGACTTCATTAAAGTTATGTATTATTTTTCAGTGAAAAAAATTCAAAAAAAAAAAAAAGAATGGAAAAAGAAGTGAAAGAAAATTTAAAAGTTTTTCATGCGTTATAAATCAAAAATGTTTGAATTTACTATTATTAAAAATGTTTGAATTTCAAAAATTTGCGCATCTATAAGAACAAAACTTATTTACTCAAATTTGAAATTCAAATGTATATAAAAAGTTAATTTTGCTCTGAAGTAATTGTACAAAAATTGTTTTCTAAAATAAAAAAAAGGCAAAAATATGAAATAACTTCATAATTCAAATCGTTTTATCAAAGCAAGTTTCTAAAATTAAGACTGAAAATCAGTAAATTTTACAAAATGCTAACTTAGAAAAGGATGGCAAATTGCTAGTTGCTAAATGTGACTGAAAAATGAAAAATGAAAATAACTGCAAGTGCGTAACAAACCTGTTTGCAATAGAAATACTTTGAAAAACAAAAATTCTTTCGCAGTAAAAGTTTTATTAAATACTTTATTAATGCATTCTTTTATTCAGAATACTCACCATTTTGCTATTTAAAAATTATTTCAATAAATTAATTTAAATTCAAATTAATTTAATAATTTTTATATTTTTAATAATTTGTATAATTTAACTAATTTTGTTCAGCTTTTTTCTTTTTTTAAATCAGTAAATTTATCTAGCATATATGATATGAAATATATGTAATGCAAAAGTGCTTACTTAATATCATTATAAGATTTTCAATCTTTTTGCTTGCAAATATTTTTGCTAGCGAAAAATTTGAAAATTTTAAAAATTCTAGTTTTTTTGCTTTCTTTTCAAATATTAGCAAAAATATTTTAGCAATTTTATATGAGTATTTGCATTAAAAAACTGATTCATAATTAATTCCAGTATAATTGATGTCGTGTTTTTAAATTGATAAACTAATACAATTAATTTAGTGATTTTTTTAAATAAACAAAGCATATAATCAAAACTTGATAAATGATATAATTATATTATGGGAATATTGCAGGAATAAATTTAAACTTAGAACTTTAAATCCTTTCAGTGTTATTCTTTGTGTTTTAATTGAAGTATAGCGATTAAATTAGGCTTGGTAACAGCAGACATTACTGAAAGTAACGCGTAAGTAAACAGAAAATATATTCTAAAACAAAAACAAAATTTAATAAAAATTGAACTAAAAATTACTAATAAAATTTTTTGTTCAATTTTTGAAGTCTTTCAGTACGAACTTTGAAACTTGAGGATATTTTTTTTCAATAAAAGTTCATTGAACTAGAATAGTGAGGATAAATCTAAATTATAGGATGTGATGTCAAGTATAAATTTTTAATTTTCAGAGATTTGAATTAGGTTAAATAAGCATTAAAAAGTGGATAGAAATGACTGGAAGATTCCATTACTGCTATGCGATTCATCGTCAAGTTTGGAAATTATGAAAAAATTATTCAACTTTAAATCTTAGATGAGAAATCCTCTTCAATCATGTTTAGGAAACAGCAGACCGACGCGTACTTCCCATTTACGACTAGACAAAATCCTCTTTACTTTTAGGTTTTATGTTAACATCATTAATATTAATGTGCTGTGGAAATATTCGCCAGCAGTGTGATGAAAGTATTTAAATAATCGCTTGTGATAGCAAGTCTTTAATTGAATTGCTTTTATTAAATTGATTTACAAATACAGTAATACAGATTAAGAAGTTTGATAAATATATGAAGACATACAGAGTCAATTTGATCAAAAATACAAATCTACAGTTAATGAGGATAAAAAACACGAATAAACAAAGTCAATGCGTTTGAAAAATAAAGATATAGAAAATTAATGAGATCAATACATAAATATACACGAAATGATGAATTTATAACAATAATAATAATAATAATAATGATCATATAAATTTTACAATTACAAATAATGCATAGTTAATAATTCACATATATTAATAATCATGTAAAGGAAACTGCTCAAGACAATCTTTCTAAAAAATTAAAAACTTAATTTTCATTAATTCAATAATTTTTAACATAAATAACAAAAACGTTGAAAAAAAATTTTTCACTTCATTCAGGTGCGTCGTTCAATAATCTTCGAAGATCGAATCGTTCTAGATGCGCGAATCTCACAAACTGGAAATGAGTGGAGCGATACCGGCATTTTCAATGGGAGATGCTTGCAGCATAAATCACAAAAAATGGGCTTCCTGAAGGCAGCTCCTATCCATCATGAGTTCAGCTGCTGTGGCTGCAGCAACCTCGAAAATTTCAGCCGCTGTGGTTGTAGCAGCTTTGATTCCTGTTGCTCCAGTCCACTCATGAATCAGACAATCTCTCCACTTGAGAATACCAATTCATGAACTGCGCATTCTTCGAAGAAAGAAGTAAGGAGCAGGATACCGAACCAAGTTATTTTTACTGCTCCTTTCATTAATACTAAAAATTTACGTCGTTGAAATACTTGGCAGAAATTAATCCAGTTTAATGCTACTTCTAAATTTCAAAAAAATAGAAAAGTAATTAATACAAAACGATGTAATATAAATTAGAATTCTAATATTTTTCACGCTGTTATTTTAACGTTTCGAAGAAAAACTGTGCCAAAATTTTTGTAAAAAACAAACCTTTAAAATTAAAAACTGCTAAGTACACACTAAACGTGTACTCTTCCATGTTGTTTGCCTACCACTCAACGTTATAATAGCTTATCCTGAAATTTCAAATTATATTATTCATGCAAAAGCTTTAATCAAGCGCAAGCTTACGTGTGATCGTTCATTTAGTTAATACTTACGTGCAGTAAAGTATTAACTAAATGAACGATCAATACCGATAAACAAATGCAATATTCAACTAAATAAGGGAAAAGTAACAATATAAAATCAACAATTTAAAGCTAAAAACAAAAATTAGATGATAATGCCCGAAACTTTCATTGTGAGTACGAAGAATTACTGAGCAAAGAGGAACAAGTGAGATATAGCTTGAAGACGTAAGAAGTGAGAAGTGAATGAAAAAATGTGTGAACGTAGGTATGGCCAGCAAAAACGGATAGCGGAAAAGCGTGGACCGCTTAAGAAAGTAAAAAGGTACCGAAGCAGTATGGAAACATGAAGACACTATGCAAGACAAGCGAACTCACTACTTAGAACCGCTCGCGCCGCAGACGATAAGAGGAGTGAATGAGAATGAATGAATCGAACTGTCCCTCAAAATGCCTTCCTCTCACTCTCTTCATCACTTTTTCTTTTCCAATGAACGTACGTCAAAGTGCAAATCGGAGAGACTGCCCACTTTTCATAGCAAATGACGCAAAAAATTTGAATATCTGAAAGTACAAAGTGTTAATATGGATTGATTGACCTTTAATATTAAGAGTTCATTTATTCACATGATATCCACACCACTGCAAACAGTCCATGATTGAATATGCAAATTTATCAGCATTATTAATCATCATAATTGACGTGATAAAGGTTATACTTGGAGGTCACACTTTCCTTACGTCCTTGGTGTCTCTGATGATAAAGTTAATATCATACGAAGCAATAATATTAACACTAAAAACATGAATAAAATATGTTGTAATAACAAACATACGTAATATGTTTGCCACACGTTAGCTCATCCAATAATTTGTATTTTCTTACGATAGTTGCAATGCTAAATATACTTCCTACGTCAAAAAATATCAATTTGTTTATCAGTAAATTCATGGAGAAAAAGAAAAAAGATCCGATTGATAATCAGACTGGCATTAAATCTGATAAAAAATATGTTCCTTACTTTAAATAAAAATAAAAAAATTTTTGTTACCGAAATTTTAAGAAGTAATAATACTTTTAAAGTACTCACTATAGAAAAAAGTAATTAAGATGCATTTTGAAAATGATACGGATCAAAAAATATAGTTCAGATTAATACAGTTAAGGATTAAGTCAGAAATTAGTGTAGATCAAAAATTTGTATGTTTAATAATTACGAGTAATTTGTATAAATTGCAAAATGATTTCAGCATAAGTTCAAACTTGGATTTATATAATTTAACGACAGGGTGATGGTCGGTCGTTCCATAGGAAGGCAAAAGAAGAGCGGTTCGCTGAAGGTCAAAAGTTAATCGCTAATTTAAATTCATTATTTATCTCTGATGAACAAATAAAAGATTCATAGTGATTCAGGTAGCTGCAAAAGTATAAGTGCTTCACAGAAATAAATTGCCTCTTATTACCACTCTTTTTTGTTATCACTGTTAATTTGATTAGTATCAGTAATTATCAATATCCATACTCCTGTATAATTTAACTCTGTTTATTATCATTGCTTGAAAGATAAAAGGACTGATGGATGTTAAAAGAAAATATCTTAATTCTTCACAAGAATCTGCATACTTTTCATGATTATTACTACTAGTATTGATGACTATTATTACCATAAATTATGATACTATTAATATAATTATAGTCAATCTCGTTACAAGTTTTTGTTACGAATTTTGCTATAATTATGTATGCAAATTTGTTAAGTAACAAAATGCAAAATTTGCATATCTATTTGCTCAAGCAAATCTTGTAACAAATTTTTGCAAGAATAATCTGAAAAATTTTAATTTGACTAATATTACAGATAAGTAATCAAGATGCTGGTGAAAAACCAGCGGATTTTGTAGCTTTGATAGCAAAGCAAAGTTTAACAAAATCTCGCCGTATGCATTTTGATCGTTTGGTTGCGACAACAGCAATTAACGGCACGAATACTGCCACATTTATCGCTGAACTCGTAAAACTTTCACAATTTAAATTTATATCAAAATTAGTGAAGGATTCTTAGCAAGTTTCACTACAATAAACAGTATTTATTGCTGTGAAAAAAATTAATACTGCTTGATAACTTGCGATAAGGATTGATTTCAATGCAATCAAGTTTAGAACTATCACTTTTTACGGCAACAAATTGCAAAAAATAATCTTCGATATTAAATCTAGTTATTCTTAAAAGCGCTAATTTCAAAAAATAAATTTTAAATATAATAAATAATTAATTAGTTGTGTTTTTGAATAAATTTCTTTTTGCTATACAGTATCAAATTTTTTGGCTTTATAGTTCTTCCTGCTTGATCAAATTTGCTTTGAATTCACATTATTTGCAATAATTAAATTTCCATTTCAAATTTATATTTACGTTCTTGTATCGTTAGGATAAAAATCGTGTACCAGTACCATTACTAGAAAAGAAACGTGTGAAACTTAGTTCAAAAGCTAGTGGTGATCATGACTATTTACCAGCAACATATGCTTGTTTTAATCGAGAAGATTATATTATCATCCAAGCACCAACTAAAGAAAATTCAATTGACTTCTGGCGAATGGTTTGGCAGGTTTGTTGTTTGAATTTGTAGTCAAAAAGTGAAAGTTATTTTTTGTCTTCAAAAATTTTCCCTCAAATATTTTGTTTTTAAAGCAAACTATTTATGAATTTTATAGTATAAATAATACAGCAAATATTTCTGAGTTAATCAAAATTGGTATTGTATCAACAACAAAAAAATCAAACAAAAGCATACAAAGTTGCATTTTGAATGAATCTTTCATTTTTGAGAGGAAGTCTGTTAATTATTCCAAAAGATTCTACAGACAATTTTTGAATTTAATTTTGAGTTGCTATCTACAAAGTGAAATTTATCTACTGCTAAATCTTAGGATGGTTGTAAGTTAATCGTTTGTGTAGTAGAAAAATCTCAAATGAGTTCAGATGATAGCAGCACTGATAAGTGCTATCAGTATTGGCCAACGAAACTAAAGTCAAAAATGGAAATTGGCGTAAGTTTTGGTTTATTTTTCTATGCAAATTTTTGCTTTTGCATTAAGTTTTAGCAAATTTGCAACCAAAAATTATTTTAAAAAAGAAAATTATTAAAGAAAAAAGTATTATTAAAAGAAATTAAGAAATATCGTTAAAAATTTGAGAAATAATTTACTAAATTTGAAATGTTTTTTATCAAAAGCTTGTGAAATTTGAGTTTTATGAGTCATTCTATGGTAAAAATTTGTTTCACTACTGTTTCAGTACTTCAAATATCGCGGGTAATGAATCAAAAATTATCACTTACTTTTAAATATTTAATTTTAGAAGCAACGATTCAGTATCAGTTTGATGAAAAAAAAGGAAGAAAAAGGCTTTATTATATACGACGTAGCATTGTCTGCGCATCTTGACGCTGATGTTAACGTTGGAAAATCTGCGCCTAAAGATAGTTCAGCAGAGACAGCTGTTGATGAAGACGGAAAGCCAAGACATGTGAATCTTAATGTTTTATCTTTTTATACTTTATGAAAATAAGACTCATATGTTACTTTATATCATGCAAGTTTTATCAGAAAATATTATAAATAATAATATATTTTGAAATTTTTTTGCATTGAAATATTTATAATACTTTTTATTCTGTTATTTAAACAATGATTTTTATATTTTTCAGAAATATTTTAAATTAAGTTGTTCAAAAACAAAATTATTCTCAAAAAGAGCTTATATTGCTTAGAGAAATTTTAATTTTGTTTTAATAATTATTATTTTAGTTTAATAATAATAATTATTATTATTATTACTTATTGATAATTATTATTATTCCTCTGAAGGAACTACCGTGAATTAAAATGGTAGAATATAAAAATTGTCAAAAAAGTAAAATATGAACAAAGTTGTCTTTCCAAAGTATGAATAATTCATTGAAATATTTTACTTTTTATGAAAAAAAAAAATAGAAAACTCAGATAATCACATATATATCTGCTTTTTGTTTTAGGTGCTAATATTTCACATAACAGACTGGTCAGTTACTTCATGGCCTGATTTAGACCACTTGGGACCGTTCATTAAGACTTTAGCTAGTAAAGAAGTGCAGATAATAAAACGTGCTACAGACGATTATATTCCACCTGTTGTACTTCAGGGATTTGCTGGTCTGAATAGGTAGAAATTTAATTTTTATTGTCGCAAAAATGCTCCGTTTATATATGTTAATTGCAAATAATTGGAAAGTTATTATTTATATAATAACTAGAACAAAGTTTAAGTTTATTTTGTAAATTACATAGAATAAACTCATGATAGAAGTATTCGCTTCTTCGTTTATGATATCAGTTTTTTCATTCATATAAAATGAAGAGAAACAGATGCATCAAAGATTCTGTATCAAAGATTCTTATTTATGCTTAAATCTGCTTTATTTTAGAAAGTAAAATATAATGTTTTCGAACAAAAATAAATTCTTCGTTATCATCGGAATTTAGCAAAGTGTTTAGAAGGAAATGAACCCATAATACTAACTCATAACAGTTTTGATCCATTCGTAGATTCATGACGTGATCTGAAAAAAATCATAATTTTATAATTTTGCAAAAAAATTACTTCCATTTTGTAAAAGAGTAATTTTTATAAGTTTTTTCACACTTATTCGAACAATTTCTCTTCTTACATATTCTAGAACATGTGTGGTATGGGTAGCAACTATACTAATGAAGCAAATCGAACGCCGTGAATGCTTTGACGTTGAATATCTAGCCAGGTATTTATTACGTGTTCGTCCGGGAGCATTTACCGAGCCTATGTCATTTTTCGTCTTATTCGCGCTGGCGTTTCGAATTGCTTCGTTGGGTGGTTGGAGCACTTATGAGGTTTTCTTCAATAAATATTTCAGTTCTTGCAGTCTAAAACTGTAATGAAGAAAATTAAAGTCATTTCATAAATACCAACAAATTGCTGTAATTAATTTTACCACCTAAAATAGATACCTTTTCTTCATAAGGATTTTAAGATTTGGTAATAAAGTGATTGCATTAAATTATGAAGAGATGCAATTCAACCGACTGCGAGATTGTATACTTGGCTTAATTATTAAAAAACCACAGCTTTTATTATTACTTTAAATTCAGTAAATATATTTTAAATTCAGTAAATCAATTAAACATTCTTCGTGTATTCATTGAATAAACTCAGTCTAAACTTCAGTATTATCTCTGGAAACTTTGTTTAGTATTTCAAGCAAAGAAAACGTAAATAAAATTAAACTTTGAGCAATTAAACATTATCATTACAGTATCCAAAGGTTATCAATTTTATCAGTTTTACTACTTGTTAGTACTAACTTTTTATCACATCAAATGATAATATCAATTTTAGCTAAAATTTTTTTTTTACAATGAAGTCTTATCAATACATCCAAACTTATAGAAACTAAAAACTGATATTTTTTCTGTTTATTCATTCTTATTATCACATATTTTTGAATGTTTGAATTTTCAGGATGCTAAAGATCGCATTAAAGAGATCAAAGCAATAGCAACTGCGAAATTGACTGAAAAAATGACTACTTGAATAGAGATTATCAGTGCAAACACCTTCATGACATCTATTATCAGTTATCAATTACAATAATTCTCTGCATAAATGCTCACTTTAAAAGCTTTATCAGATCTGTGAAAATCTGAATGACTGAAGGACTAAGCAATGAAGGCGATGATAAACTTTTAACAAAATTTGTTTAGGAATATCAAGAATGGTTTTGAAGTCAAGCAAAAGTGCTTGATAAAAGTTATCAATATTGTCATAATCATCAACACTGAAATTAAGTTTAATAATGTGCATATTCAGATTGCTTAATTTACTATACTAATTGAAATGATCAAATGAAAGTCAAACAAGGATAATGTAGGTTAAACAAGGATAATGTAGGTTAAACAAGCGTAATGAAGGTCAAACAAGGGTAATGAGGGTCAAACAAGGGTAAAGAAGGTCAAACAAGGGTAGTGAAGGTCAAACAAGGGTAGTGAAGGTCAAACAAGGATAATGTAGGGCAATGTTTCGGTACTTATAGTAAAACTACGAGTATTTTTCAAACTGTTTCTGGTTGTTCTTGCGTTTTCTTAGCTGTAAAACAATATTCCTAAAATTTTTTACGCTATGCCAGTAAAAATATAACAATTTTTATAAAGTAAAACTCCTGAAATCTGGAAAAATCAGTTTGAAAAGAAAATGATTTAATAGTTTCAAATTCGATTAATGACAAAAATGTCATTTTTTAAAAGAAACACAATTATGATTGCAAGGAAAAAAATCATTTTTAAGCTTAAGCAGTTTAAAGCTTAATTTTTTATTGAACTCTCAGCTGTCAGATTAGTAAATTAGTAGCAAGATATAGTACCGCTCATTAATAATTAATATAGAGACTAATTAACACGCTGCGTAATATAGTATTTCTGTTTCACCACGTGAGTTCATCTCAAATGATACTTAGAAGCTTTTCGATATCATGCCTTAGACATCAAAATAAAGGATCAACCTGTAAGACATCGTACGAAATCTTTTATCAAATAATTGACGAACTTGTTAAAATTTTAAAATAATGCGTACTTCTGACTAAACTTGTACACTCACAAAGATGATGACAATTATTCAATATAAAAGATATAAGCTATGAATCGCTATTTTGTCATAATTTGAGTTCCTAAACAGAAGGAATAAAATGAAGGAGCAAAATAAATGTATTTAATGAACTTTGTCTGCATCTTTTTTGCCTTCTAATAGTTGTGCTATTAACATCTTCAGTTGTATTCTGTACGAGTAGTTATGCTTGAGAAGATTCAAGGATTCTCCGAGGGTATAGGTTATGTCAAAGTAATGCAAGGCGATTAATTCATACTGCCTTTGCAGCCTTCTGGCTGGAACTGAACTGAATTTATTCATATGCAAAATTTATTTGCAAGTGAGAAAATTTTCCATGCATACGTAATATATGCAGTTGCATCATTAATCAAGAAACGAACATCGCACGATTCATCTCCAGATCACGTGATTTGATACATCTCAGATTTAGCATACGTAAATGACAAGAGTGCGTGGTGGAACAGAATTACTTAGATAATTACAGAATTCGCTATGAGCAGTTGCCTTGTTAAATACATTGCAATGTGTAATTGAAAAATACTTTATGTATTTATCTCTGCAAGTGTAATAGTCTTTAGAAAAGAATTTGTTGAAAACAGTTGTGCTTCAGATTTTAACTTTGAATATCAAAAATAATTTCAAAATTGCAACCCATATTAATAACGTTCTGCGGTCGTTAGCACATTAATTAGTCCCAAGAAAAATTTAAATAGAATCTATTTGTTTAGCAAAAAGTTTTCATGTAAAAGACAAGAAATTTGAATTGAATTATTTATTGTTTATCACATAATAACAAACATAAACATATGCGATGCATACATAATATTATAAAATGAAACATGGCAAAAAATACAGTTACAAACATGTAAAATTCATTAAAATTTTTAACAATGTAAAAACAAAAAAATAATTAAAACAAATTCTGCAACAATTTCATTAATTTCGCTTCATCCATGTGATTTTTGCTATCTCCAAAGAGCATTGAATCGGAAGCAGGCCAGATTTCGCAAACTGCGTGTGAGATGCCGGCTTCCTAATTAATATAGTGTAAATTATGAGCATAGGAATTGCCCACTCATGTCAGCGAATTTTGTAAATCACGAGCTCTTGTGCTGCGATGATGTAGAATTCTAATATATACAGTCCCGCTTTCTCGCGGGAGGAAAAAATTCATGAAAATAATCCTGAAAAGTTAAGTCTTATCAGATATGTTAACAAATTAATATCATTGAAACTGAAAAAAATAATTACCAGTAGCCAAAAGTAAACATTTATAGAGGATATGACATACAGAAAAATAAATTTGCAAACTATCAAGTTTTTACAAATCGAATCAATCAACAGAGAGATTCAGTGTTAACAACTGCACAAAAATTTCGCAGGATGAAAAAACATGAAATTACTTCAGATCCTGAAGACTGGGATGAGAAGCAAAGAGGCTTCACCATCACGTCTATGTGTATGCGAGGAGCAAATGCGGCAACGAGGAATCGGGAACCACATTAACGCAAGCAAACAAACCCTCACGTTAAAACCGCTCGCGCCGCAGACGATAAGAGGAGTGAATGAGAATGAATGAATCGAACTGTCCCTCAAAATGCCTTCCTCTCACTCTCTTCATCACTTTTTCTTTTCCAATGAACGTACGTCAAAGTGCAAATCGGAGAGACTGCCCACTTTTCATAGCAAATGACGCAAAAAATTTGAATATCTGAAAGTACAAAGTGTTAATATGGATTGATTGACCTTTAATATTAAGAGTTCATTTATTCACATGATATCCACACCACTGCAAACAGTCCATGATTGAATATGCAAATTTATCAGCATTATTAATCATCATAATTGACGTGATAAAGGTTATACTTGGAGGTCACACTTTCCTTACGTCCTTAGTGTCTCTGATGATAAAGTTAATGTCATACGAAGCAATAACATTAACGCTAAAAACATGAATAAAATATGTTGTAATAACAAACATACGTAATATG